ACAGAAAAATAATTTTCCCGGTTGATAACCTGCGGTAGAGAGAGAATATCTTTGATCGGGACCAATCGAAAATACGGATATATTTTGATACGGAATTTTTATCTTTATATTTTTGTTCCAACATTGAAAATTTAAATGGGACTTGAAGCTTTCAAGAGAGCTGATGAGGAACAAGTTACAAAGGCAAAGATCGTAAAGAGTTGAATACATATGTGTAGGAAACTTGTAAACTTTACCTTCCGGCCGACCCTGCTCTGCCCGAACCGGATCCTCCGGTGCGGCATCCGCGTCTGCCGGACTTGCTTCCCGCAACGTCTGGAACAAAAATTTAGCGTTCTTGATTGGTAAGCTGCGGTAGAGAAAAAATGGTTGGTCGGGATGAGTGGAGAATATTCGCTACGATTTTTTTTCTTTATTGACATTGAATATCTAGATAGGAGCTCTTGAAAGAGCTGACGAAAGAAAATGACAATAAGAAGCGGAGACAACAGTTGTGTGCTCTCGAAAATATTCTTTTACGGATGGACATTTAAATTCAGATCCCGTAACAAGAGTAAACAAACTTGAAAGAAGCGCTAACCGAAAACAAAAAAGGTCGCAGTCTAAGAAGCGATATGACATTGAATATTCTACACGAGACCAATATTCTCACACAGGAATTGGGAATGATTCAGAATGTTTGATTGAGAACATGATGAATTCGAGATCCACGTCCATGGACCGTTATCCGTCTCTGTCTGGATCAATATTTTTTGTATACAACAACGCAATAAATAGATAGACAGACAGAGATTGACGAGAGTAATTGCAAATTCATAAAGTGATGATTACAAGTCGGATGATGACGGATTGTGAATGCCGAGCGCGAAATTCCGACTTCTTATTCCCGGAAAATTCGTCAAACGTACGCTCTCGTTATCGGAGACCTCCCGCGTAATAAATGATTCCACATACCTGGAAACGTGACGTATCGCTGCCGGCGTTCTGCTTCTCGACTGCTGAAGTCCTCCGGATTTCACTCGCTCACGCTTCTAATGCTGATACTCGCGATTCGACCGTGCAGTTAATGAATGAGATGCCGACGCGATGCCGATTGAGTATCTCGAGGACCGACGAGATATATTTCTTTTAATTACACGAGACGGAAGTGACGAGAGCGTCGCGCACGGCTGCTGCTGATGGAATGAGGTCGAATACATGAGGTGCGCGAGTATTATAATACGAAGGGCAAAAAGTGTCGTCGCTCGCGAGCCGATCAACACAATCGGCGCGATGTAAACATTGCGGGCCTCGGCGGCGGTTGAAGCAAGAGAGACTTGCCTTTGAGCGTCTCTTGTTTTCTCGAAGGTTTCGGAACGACGAGGGGAATGCGAGGAGGCCTTTCAACTGTACGCGACATTGATGCACTCTATTTATTGATTACTGAAAATAAAGAAAATTACTCTGTCGAAGCATCGGACATTTGTTAGCTTTATGTTAATTAAAGAGGAATGTATACGATTAGAAAATGTGTTAGCAACTAATTGTACAGAGTGTAAGTTGTTGTGACGCCGTTTTCAGAGAATAATTAAAGGTCATGGTAGCGTTAAAGAATGGAATTTCATCCTATGCGAATTTAATCGCTCTCTTATTAAATATTAGTCCTGTATAAAATGTCGTATTTAAAAGTATTGTTTCGCATTCACGAGATTTTGTCGTGAATTCTGCTCTCAGATTGGATCGCGGGTGAATACTTTTTAATGCGACGAGGAATAGAACGTGAAAATCTTGTATGCCTCTGAATCCGAAAACGATTAGGAGAAGAAGTGAATATTTTTCAATACGAAAGTTCGCATTTAAAAATTATCGATTGCAATTGAATACAAGGCATATTTGAAACGAATTGAATCCTTGTTAATGCGAAGCATTCACTACTACCATCTCGCATTTAGCGCGGTGAAATTTAATGGGAACTAATACTTTTTATTTTCCCTTTCTTCGGATCAGAAAGCAGAATTCAGACGTATTCAAAATGTCAATACTTTTTAATATGTTTCAGTTCGACATTTTATACAGGGAGATTATCCGCTGCGGACAATAACTCTTCTACTTTTCATTTAATATTCAATGATGATAAATAACATTTAATTGCATTCGTTTGGCTTTTTTTATTTCGAAAATAAGAAAATATATACCGGGGTGAGATTTTACCCATGACAACATTAACGTGATTTTCTTTGCTTTTTTTAAAAGTTCAAATATTTCGTCGACTCGCGGGATATTTATAATCGGAGTCTCGTCACGTTAATTACGTGAATAACACGTGCTCCTCCGAGCGGATCGAATGCTCACCGACGGCCACTGTCAGTGCCACGAGCGAATGTCCGGAGCGGACGGGATGCTGAATTAAAAAACAAGACGAAGTGAACGGGACACGGACAACGATACATCATGCGTCTCCATACTTGTCAAATTGTTTATTATAGAAGAGACTTTGATACGGCAATATATATTCGAAGATTTAACATTTAATACGTACTTTTATTTTTTCTGCTCCTCCCCCCCTCTCCCCCGCTCTTTTTAGACTACACGGGCATAGTCTGGCATAGAAATGGCAACTGTCATTGCAGCACGGACATAAACCGCCTGAAAGTGGATGTAGCATGGACTTCCACCATATGCAGATTTTACCACCGAGACCTGAAAGTGGATGTACTATCGTAGTTCCCCTCTCAAAATGGATGCAGATGGCGTCCTTTCCCAGTGCGGAAAGTCGGTGTCGCAGAAAATGTCGTATTGGCCGCTCTCAGGTTACTCTCTGATTGCACACAGGACGCGGCAATGCTTGCCGCGATGCGGAAGTCGGCTAGGGAATTTGCGGTAGCCACTCAGCATCTTATTTGCCCAGAAACAGTATTTATAAAACATGCGGCATGTGAGACGTTGGCCGCGTTCAGTAGAACAAAGTGATCAGAGAGCGCTTAGTGATTATTGTCTGTGATTGGAGCATTCTGTTAGATTCTTCATAGACCCAGAAATATTTACCAATCAGGAGCGAGATTCAGTGGAAAATCTAGTAATGTTGTCCAACTGTTGAGTCTGCTGAACGAGGCCATTGATTGGTTACTGCGATATTCCCTAATCAACTTCTGCCGCGCGGCAAGCATTGCCGCGTCCTGTGTGCACAATCGACTCAAGTCTTTTATTTCCGTCTTCTTTAGCCATTGAAAGGGGGAAGTCCATATCAAGATCATTCACAATATATATTCGTGAAAACTCTTGATTTTGTCTACAGGTTTGTTAATATGATAATACAATTATGTTGCTGCAGTTGTGTTAATTAATCTGCAAAAAATATATTGTGGATATATCATCAAAACCATTCAAATTATTACAAACAATCAAATATTCATTACAGAACGTTACACTAGGATTTTCGAAGTCTTCATATGGATACATGCTACGAAAAGGATTTAATTTGATAAAAGTTGATTGTTCAGATACATCTAAGGTAAGTATTGTAGTTAAACAAGCTATCCTTTACTTGACAGATCTAGCAGTCAAGCAGTTGAATTAAGAAAGTCGGTAGTTGACGATAAGACGAAAAATAGATAATAATTCGCAAAATTATATTAATTGTGATGAACAATAAATTTTAATTAATCATTATTAGTATACCTTTATTGAAAGTTATAATTATGTAAAATTACTACATCTACCATTAAAATTTATTTTAATGGTAATAATTCACAAAATTATATTGTGATAAACAATAAATTTTAATTAATCATTATTAGTATTACCTTCATTAAAAGTTATAATTATGTAAAATTACCGCACCTACCATTAAAATTTATTTTTTATCACAATTAATACAATTTTGTGGATTATTACCTTCTATCCTATTTTTTGTCTTACCGTCAACTATTGACTTTTTTAACTCAACTCAATGGCAATAAAGCCAGCGGCACACGGTGCTTGTTTTCGTGCTGGATTGCTTGCTGGATGAAAATACTACGTTCTGATTGGTACATTTCCGAAGATGGATGGAAATGCACCAATCAGAACGCAGTATTTTCATCCAGCAAGCAATCCAGCACAAAAACAAGCATCGTGTGCCGCTGGCTTTATTTAACAGAAGTTAACAGGCCGCAATATATATACATATTTCGATCAAAGTAATAATAATAACAAAATGTTTCAAAGAATATCTTTAATTTGACAATTTTTACTATTAAATATATCAAGATTATAATTCTCATTTGTTACAAAGATGTATTACAAAGATGTATTAATTTGAATAAGGAATATATAGTGACTGATTAAATTTCAACTTTATTTTTCAGTTGAGTTTTTATACCGAAAAATAATTTGCATTGAAAATATAATACATCCATTTTAATGAGAAAACTTTAATCTTTTTACCCTGTAATAAATGTTGTATATTGATTAATTCATTCATTTTCTGTATGCAATGGGATGCACAAGGGTCGTTTTTATTAAATATTAAATATCTATAATAATAACTTGAGGTAACAAAAAGTCGGATTAAAGTCTGCGTACATGCAAATTAGGGAAGAAAGTTTTTTTTCTTTTTAATGACATAAACACCATTTATGTAAATATATTGTTTAAACAGTGTAATATGATAAATTTTATGAAAAGTTTTAGCTTTTGATATGTCTCGATTTATATTTATAACATCGTTAAAAAATAAATTAAATTTACATTTGAATACATATATGAATAGTAAAGACTTTAAATTATAAAACGATTTTTAAACCTTCTCACATTATCATTATTCTTACTGAATTATTAGCCAGTTATATTTTGTCTTTTTGTGATGGAGCGAAATTTTTGATATTTGTGCAAAATATACAATAAAATTTTCGGTTGGTAAATCATTTTTATTGGTGATGCATGAAATTATAATGCAATATTAATTACTTATTTTATTTTCTTTATTCTTTTGTCTGTAAAAATTTGATCCTTGGTCGCCTCTCCTATTTTGATTACAGAGTGCGGTTCATACGCAGTTAAAAAATCAAGCATGTGTGCGTGCACATGCAAATAAATGGCAGATGATTATTCGTTCGTGAATGATAAGCCACATGTTGCTTTGAACATGATACAATTAATGTGCTCGATGAAAAAATCAGTGACATTAAAGTTCACAAAGACATGAAGACATGAAGATCTAAAATATGGAAAACTCGTGTCGGAACTAACCTCGATGCGATCGCAAGCGGGATGAGAGTTGAAACGTGATTTCGCGAAAGGTTTATTATTTGCCGGAGTTGGCGTTGAGCTACATGAGCGAGACGCATACCGGCTTTGTCCTAACTCGCAAATATAATGTTCGGCAAGCTGTGACGTCGTTCAATTTTACTCCCAAAACAAAGTGGCAAATGATTAGGTCATGTGGGTCATCGATAATACGATATAAATTATCACATGTCAGTCTTAATTTTAGCATTCAACCCTAGTGACAGGTATACATGTAATTATAATAATTTCTTGAATGCAACTTTATGCAAAATATTAACGAATACAACTAAATTTCATAGGTGTGGAATGATAAAAGTCATATCTATATATAAACTGTATTATTTTCAGTTATTTATTTTAATATTTAGCAACATTTCTTTGAAGGCAATCTTACTTACAGAGACCACTTACAGAAGATGTATCAAATTATCCGATATTTATTAAATAGGTGAAGGTGTACTGTAACTAATAAATATGGTGGTAAATGCCTTTGAATTACTCCCGTCCTATCATTCCAATGGAGCTGGAAAGGAGGTGTGCCAGTGGTTGGCACACATCAAATTGTCTAGGATAATTCTTTTAACATCTGCAGTTTTATTTATTGTGCCATTATTTACTCATTATTATTTATCCAAGGTACATAAGACTAGAAAATATATTATTGCATTAGAGACAAGAAAATATATTATTGCAAGATTTGTTAAAATATATCTTATTAATAACTTTACAAGATATGCTTTAATAAACATAATAAGCATATTGTAAAACCATTATTAAGTTACAAAATATATCATGAATATGGCCCTTTACAATTTGTTTTATAATTTTACAAAACATGCTAACTTTAAATTGCTTTACAGGTAGAAAACGATGCTCCAGACAGGGATATGTATAGAACATTTTCAACGTTGGAAGCTTTTGAGGATTTCACTGCCATGAAGGCATCGCAACTAAAGATGAGAATAGAGGAGATGTTGCGTATAAAGATATCAGTGAGTAATGAACTAAGAGATCTAAGTGCCAAGAGGCAGAGGCTTCAAGTGGAAGTTAACAGTCTGGCCCAGAAGATAGACGAATTGAAGCAAGAGTTGTTACATCAACAGACAGATTTAGACAGACTAAAGATCAGTGTGGAACAAGCACAAGTAGCACAGAGAGAAGCGGTGGAAAGGAACACGCCTGAATTAGCACCTCCTAAGAGAATATTAATCAACACTATTCCAATTGTATTGCCAAGCACGGATCCACGATCGTGTAGAATGTACAATTGTTTTGATCACAGTCGATGTGCACTGACGAGTGGTTTTCCCGTATTCTTGTATGATCCGGATCAATTTTCTGTAGTTAATCTGGGTTGGGACGTAGATGGCTTTCTAAAAACTACCATCAAGCAGACATTAGGTATGTGTTTAGTATGTTCTCGTTCGACAAGATGTTTACTTGCCATAAGTTATAATTATTCTCCTGTGTAGGATACAATCCGCACCTTACGAGGAATCCAGCAGAGGCGTGCGTCTACATAGTGTTAATCGGCGAAGCATTGAGTTCCCAATCAAAGGGGGGCGATCATCGTTATAGAAAACCTGTAGACGTGAAGAGATTACATGCACTTCCATACTGGGGCGGGGACGGTAGAAATCACATCTTGCTGAACCTCGCGCGACGAGATCTCTCTGCGGATTCCGGAAATATTTTCAACAATGTGGACACAGGCAGAGCGATCATAGTACAGTCGACATTCTATAGAAATCAGTTCCGCACTGCTTTCGATCTGATTGTACCGCCAATCTTGGGGCCACCCGGTGGAGACGTTTGGCAAGAATGCGCACAAATGCTGCCCGCGAGAAGAAAGTACCTGCTGTCCTTTCAAGGGGAGATGAGGACCTACAAAGGCACACCAATGACGCACCAAATCGACGATGTCGACATGGATCTGGAGAGATTAGCAGTGGATGATAACAACATAGATGCGTTTATCATTCAGCATCTGAAGGACATGAGCAGCGGAGTAACTCTAGATAAGTTTTTCATTCAATTCGAATGCATCCCCGCTTCCGTAGAGAGCAAGCCTGTGGAGGCTCTCGACTGGTCCCTCTGCGGCACCGATTCCTCCAGACGTACCATATTGAAAGAATCGACGTTCGCGCTGATCTTGGCGCCCAGCAACGCCACGTTGCTCACCACCTCATCCATGCAAGCGAGATTATACGAAGCGTTGCGATCGGGATCGATACCGGTGATTTTGGGCGGTGACCAGGTTTTGCTCAATTATAACGAAGTTATCGCTTGGAGAAGGGCGGTTATCTTTCTGCCTAAGGTAAAGGCATTGTTAGATTTGTTCTTGATGTTGCAAGGAAGCTAACGAGACTGCAACCTTTTCAGGCTAGGGTAACTGAAATGCACTTCCTACTACGTGCTGTTCCCGACAACGATCTCTTGACGATGCGAAGACAAGGCAGACTGATATGGGAACGTTATATGAGCACCGCTCAAGGCGCGGTGGACACGATCATAGCAGTGGTCAGAGACAGACTTGGCATACCGCCGTTGCCAGCGTCTCAAACGCCCAGTCCTAGTGTATTCAATGAAAGTTTTGTGGTATGTATTTGAGATGCGATGTTTGAAGATCTATGTATGTTCTACATTATCTCGTTTTAACAGCCTTTAAAGTCGGACACTATCATCACGGAACCAGAGGCTGAGGAAAGCTTAGGTCCCTTGGAGCCGCCGTACCCATCTCCTGCTTTCAAGAGGAATTACACCACGCTGCTAATTCAGGGTCACGAGATTTGGAACGACTGGATGGATCCATTCAATTTGTATCCGCAGTTACCTTTCGACACTATCTTACCTAGTGACGCGAAATTTCTCGGTAAGATTGTTATTTTAGATTATCGTTATGTGAGTGTTATTTCTCCTATTATTACTTATATTGCTGCATTTTTAGGATCAGAAGTCGGCTTCCGACCTATCGGCAAAGGTGCCGGCGGTGCTGGAAAAGAGTTCAGTGAGTCATTGGGAGGAAATTATCCGAGAGAGCAATTCACAATCGTCATGTTAACATACGAGAGGGAACAGGTTCTTATAAATTCGCTGGCACGGCTTTACGGTTTGCCTTATTTGAACAAGGTACTCGTGGTGTGGAACAGTCCTAAACCACCCGTGGAGGATCTTAAATGGCCTGACATTGGCGTTCCCATACACGTGAGTTCATTTTATTTGCATGATCTTATAGAGACTTTATTCATACATGTAAAAATATCATTGAATTACTCTTGTAACATTTCTGGCCAGGTTATAAAGGCACCGAGGAACAGCTTAAACAATAGATTTCTTCCGTTCGATGCTATCGAGACGGAAGCCGTTCTCTCTGTTGACGACGATGCTCACTTGAGGCACGATGAGATTATGTTCGGTTTCAGGTAAGCTGGTTTCGCGCATGATCTTAGCAATTAATACAACTTTAATGGATTATACCGTGATTTCAGGGTATGGAGAGAACATCGAGATCGCGTGGTTGGTTTTCCTGGACGTTTTCATGCGTGGGATCAGAATTACCATAACGCTTGGAACTACAATTCCAATTATTCTTGCGAGTTGTCCATGGTCTTAACCGGAGCCGCTTTCATTCATAAACATTACACATATCTGTATACCCATTGGTTACCACAGGCGATCAGAGATAAAGTCGACGAATACATGAACTGCGAAGACATCGCCATGAATTTCTTGATATCTCATATCACGAGGAAACCACCAGTTAAAGTAACTTTTCTTGTTATCTTTAAAATGAAAATGATAATCATTCAGCGTCACACTCTAATATAACGAGTTAATGTAAATATATTAATATATTTTGCAACTTGTTTTTAGGTAACATCACGTTGGACGTTTAGATGTCCGGGTTGTCCAGTCTCACTTTCTGAAGATGATACACATTTTCAAGAGAGACACAAGTGCATCAACTTTTTTTCTCAGGTAATAAGCCGAAAAGATTTTTTATCGTCGGATACTTTTGTATAATATGTTTTGGAATACATTTACGCGATTAACGACACAAGCAGTAAAGATTTCAATGATTTAGTACGGTAGTTACTCTATACGTTCAATGGTTTCAGGTTTTTGGATATATGCCTTTGTTGAATACGCAATATCGAGCCGATTCGATATTATTTAAGACACGAATACCACATGACAAACAAAAATGCTTCAAATTTATATGAAGAAACAACCTATTAGAATTTATATGTATGTTTATCATAGGATAAGATTTATATATGACTTTGATACAGCCTTCGTCGAGCTCACGTAACTCATAATAAATTATTATATACGACATTTTACAACATACATACAGGAAATAACTAGCAATCTGGAAATATTTCATTAAAATGTCGTTAAATTGTATTAATGATTAAAGAGTGAACAAATCTTCAAATGTACTTTGTAAATGATCAATGTAAAGATATAATTGTATAATTGAGTATAGATATAAATGTTTCAAAATTATCTTAATATTTCTGTGGCATACTAAGTTTATAGTAATTAAAAACGATTAAAATAATTGTATGACTATCAGATAAGAGGTAACAGAACATTTTAAAATCAGCGATATGTATATTGTAAATAATTTTTTCACTCTTCTTTTTTCTTGTCCTAAATTTTTATTCAGGTGCGACCAATATCCTGAAGAGATGGAGAGATCTATTTTATAAATGTGAAACTGACAAATTACTGCCTGTTAAAATCAAAATAGTGTACATATTTAAAGTAAAATTAGAAAGGTAATATAATTTTTAATCAACGTACATAGATTTGTGTATAATAACATTTAAATTAAAAATAATAACTGGAATGTTATTCCAGTCATCATCTATAGTTCATGATTATTTTTTGAAAAAGTTTTATTTACTGACTAGGAAAACATTAGTTTGTCCTAAAAACATTTTTCACTGGTTGTGATTAATTTTCGTGGAAAAAGTTTTAGAGATAGTTAAAAAATATTTCATTTGCATATGTACACACGGAATGGTCCAAGTAATAAGTCAACAATTTGCACAACAATCATTCATACATCTTAACGAATCTCTATATTTTGTTGTAAAATAAGATTTGTAAATTTTATGGTACAGTTGATAAAAGTGTAAACCATTTCTCAAATTACAGACATTTGTTTAAGTATAATGTAATTTTTACATTAATGTTATAATTTACTCGCGATATTTAGCAGTAACATCACATTATATTGTCAAGAGTATTAACATATGAAGTTACATTTGTAGATGTGAAAGTAAAGATTCGTCTGAGTTTTATGCTTATTAGCTGTGAATGAATTTGACATGTAACAGATTAAATTTAAATTGTATTTTTTCAAGTTTAGATTTGTAGCCACGCTGTTTCAAGAGCTATTAGAGTAGCTTGCGTTTGTAAACTATATAAAGTGAAATGAACGAGAAAATTCATAAAGAATGTAGCATTTAGATGAATAATGTTACACTCGTATGTTTAATTCTTGACACATTATATTATTATGATGTTTTACGCAATGCTTTTTATACATTATAACATTGATACGTGCCAAATAATTATCTACACAGAAATTTACATAATTTTTTTTAGATATTAAAAGTAAGTTGTCTAATTTTCTCTAAATGTTTTTTGAACTAATTCGCTTTAAATATGTAAAATCATTTAGTTATATGATTACGTATAATCTGCAAGTAATTATACTATTTTTAAACATTTCTAAATACTCTTATATCTCGCTCCTATACACAACATTATCGTTGCGTTCAATGAAACGCAAGAACGCGGCCAGTGAAACGTGCTCCATGTAACAAACACCGTGCAAGAAATTATTAATGTAAAAAAATGTCCTATAAATTTCCTGTGCTGCTGTTTTGTATATTACAATGTGCTAATATTAATATTGTAATAAAATAAACGTAAGTGTATACCTGTGCAATAAAATCACATTTTTTCATATAATAACAAAAGTACATAATATATAAACTTTGTTGTATTATTATCTTGTGTAAAATAAAATAATTTCATACCGAGGACAGGCAAATAGTATGTTTCAACAGCGTTTAAATATCAGACTTTGTAAAATAGAGGCAGCAGTAAATACCGGCAGTAGTCATTGCACGTGGGTGGTCAAACGCAGTGATGGTGTCCGGTAGGATTATGATAGCGCAATTCAGGAACAATTGAAGGACTAAAGTTTCCGCTTAAGCTACTCCCAAAATGCATGAATAAATAGATTATCCTATAAGATGCGAGTGTGAGAACCGATTCCAAATATTCCGAAAAAAATATGTATTTTTGCAAACATTAGAAATCAAACGCGGAATTACATCGTCTCGATTCTTTTTATTCTTTCAAGTTTCCTCGTCAAGGTATTTTTCAAATATGGCGCCTCGATCGACGATCCCCTCGAAGTTTGCGCTAGATTGGTTCGATGGTCGATCAATACGATATTTCCTACGTCAGCGCTGTCCCGGCCGGCGATTGGCTGACACGTACGCCGCAATCCCATTATTTATTAAACCCGCGCGAAGGTATGTACGAATGCTCGTGGGCGACGTTCGTCGCGAGTATGGCTGTCGATCGCGATCGAAACGCGCACAGCGAGATCGATGACGATCGCGCGAGACGCTGATAACTCGCGTTCGAACAACAGATTCTGTACTTTGAAGCGTCTATCCGCCGCCTTCCTATCACGAACATCCTCCTCTCCGCCGTCGCCCGCCACATGCACGAAGCCGGACTTGGTACGCGCCAAGCGCTTACAAGGTGTCTTTACGAAATGTTGCACTCCCCCCTCCATTATGGATTCTTCGGAGAGTTCGGCGTCCATTTGTCGTCAACGGTAATATGATCAGAAGAGCTTTTACTTTAACGAATCCTCTCGCATTCCGACATCGAGTACCTTCGCGATGAATGTTCGAACGAAAGTTTCGTCGGAGCAAAGCTGACGCAATGCTGAATGCCGGATGTTACATTTCTCTGTGCTCTAACGTATCGCTAAGATATCGCAATCTACATCGTGAAATCCGCCGCGCGAAAATCCTCGAGCGAAGTTATAAGCGATAACCCGATATTAAAACGAGATCGTCGTTCTTTTCAGCGTGGTCCCTAATAAACGGCTCAAAGGAGAGAGATACGCGCGTCTTCTAATCCGCTCTAGATGTGGAGGTTACGTGGGACGAGAGGGTGGGAAACGAGGCACCGTCCGTTCGCGCAACTGCGGTCGCACACAAGCGCGATAAGGCATCCCTTATCCCTTGGCTAGAGGTCTCTGAGCGAGCGATACGAAGGAAGGGCAGCTCGCGAGGAACGCGGGGTCGTGCCTCGATGTCGACGTGAGGATCCCGACAGGAAGTCGATTCGCGACCGGAGATTAGCCTCGTTCGCCTACCGCTCGTCACGAGGCAAGGATTGCGAAGTATCGAAGTGAACAGGTGGCGAAGGTGTTGAGCGCAGAGAAAGGAACGGCGAGTCGCGGCCGTTCCGAATGACCGAAAGCCCGAAAGCGCGGTGATAACGCGCGACGACCACACCGAGCAGAGATTGCGCGCGCGCGCGTACGTGTATGTGTGTGTGTGTGTATGTACGTGTATGATCGAAAGAGAACAACGACGGCACAACTCGTGGAAGCAAGAGGAAGAAGAACGGAGTCAACGAGAGCGGTACCGAGCGCGAGCGGTACCACCTGGTGGACGCAGCGCGAAGGGGTTGCGCTGAGGATAAACACATTCGCGCGTCGTCCCAGCAGGGGGTAAGGACACGGAAGTGGGAACGTGGTCGTCAGCCCTCGGCGTGGTTCTCGTTATCGGGTATTCCGGATACTTGGAACGTCGACGCGACGCGACGCCAGGCGCGGCGAGTGCGCAGGTACCGTTTCTCGTCTGGCTGTCCCTCGCTCGCGACGCGTGTGTGTATGTGCGTGAGTGTGCGTGTATGTGTGTACGTGTATACGTGACAAGTGTGACCGTTCGCCAAAGTTTCGCGGCTCGACGGAACACGAAGGGCGCTGCGCGGGGATGTGCGAATCCGGAGCCGAGGTGGCCACGTAACGCCCGAGATGGGTGTTTAACCTCGCGACGACCTGCCAAGCCAAGCGGCCGCTTTTACGAGGGCGTTCTCGCGTCCGCCACGACTCGCGGGCGACGCGGACGACGGGACGAGGCTGGGAGATCGCCGAGCACGACGACGAGCACGACGAGGGGATTCGGGGTGACGATGAGCGCGACGTCAGCGACGACGCATGTACACCCCGAGCGCGACAGGAGCACGCCGTGATAGGAGCACTCTGATAGGAGAGCGAGACACAGCACCGAGCCGAGCCGAGCCGACCCCCCCCCGGCAGCCGCGTCAGCTGGGGAAACGGTTCTCGTGGGTGTGTAACTGCCCGCTCGGGGACGATCGACTGCGTGGGCGTCGCGGTGGCCGTAGAGGCGCGCCGAGAAGCGCCATTGTCGTGTCGGCTGCCACGTGAATCGTCGCGCGAGCGTCCGCAAGTGCGACAGCAGCGATCCGACAAGGTAGACGCGCAGTGTATGCGTCCGTCGTGTGGACATCGCCATATCGCAGCCGCATCCCCGCGAACGACGACTACGACTCGCCGCCAGCCGGTGAAACTCGTCGGTGAACACGCGAGACGGCGAGACAGGCGAGACAACAGCGGACCCGCCTGCGGGATGGCGCATCGCGTCGTCACGGTGTCCGAGAGATAACGGACGCGGGCTGCGATACGGCGACGGGGGGTAACCGCGGACACGACGAGCTTAGCTTATTATGTGCCACGGGGTGTCGAACGGGAGCGCGAAGATCGAGTCGCCAGAGCGGAGTCCCATTTAGTGGCAGCGGCAGCGGCAGCGGCGGCGGCAGCAACCCAGTGACCCGTTTTCGCTTTCAATCGATGCGGTTCCAAAGAGTTTCGAAGGATCACGGCCTTCTGGACGCAGCCATTATCTGCTGACGGAATCCAACGGGGAGAATCTCAGGAGAGAGATCGCTCGTTGAAGAGGACCCGCGTTGCCCCGCTGGAGCTGAACGGAGGAGGAGTCGCGCGGCTCGCGCCGCGTATCGGCAGACCTTTCGATCCCTCGAGACGAGTGCTCGAGTACGCTCTCGCTCGTTGCACGTATACTTTGCATAATCGCGGTTTACGAAACGTCTCTCTTTCTTCTTTTCCTCTCGTTCTTTCTCTCTTCTCTCTCTCTCTCTCTCTCTTTCTCTCTGTCTCTCCCTTTCCTTTTACCACGGGCTTTCGCCCGTGACTGATCATCGCGCCGAGCGGATTTGATCAGCCGCGCGCTCAGAGCGAGCGTGTCGCGCGTGCTACGCTACGAGTGAGTCGCGTCGAGGAATCGTCCGATGGTGCATTCGAGCAACGCAGCGCGTGAGGCCGGGCCGCAAGAGAGAATGCGAGAGCCTCCTCACAGCCTGTGAACATGATTTGTCATACACATGCGACGCGCGGTAATCGTACGACGAGAGACACCGACGACGACGACGACGAGGAGGAGGACGAAGAGGACGAGGAGGACGACACCCGCTGCTGCCGTGGCCATGCCTCGAGCGCTCGCATGAAAGCAGTCCGACTACTGCCAGACTGTCGTAGTACGCAACAGCCACAACAGCAGCGACCGCGAGGAGGTAAATCCGTGCCGCGTGAGACGTCGCCGAGAGCGACGTTCGAACATCCGATCTCCGACCGTCGTCTCCTCCTAACGTTATCCCGCGTAGAGAAGACCACGCCGACGAAGTCATCGACCACGAAAAGCAGCTGGACGACGGCACTCCGTCGCGATTGTCGCGCTGTTCGCAAGCTGCGAGTGCGATTCGCGAGCTCGAGTGCTGAGGACACGACGAAGACGACGACGACGACGACGACGACGACGACGACGACGACGACGACGACGACGACGACGACGGTGCAACGACGATCGCGACGTCGACGGCGACATAATCCCGGTGCGTCGGAGGCGCTCGCTTACCCGCGTTGCGTCGCGGTAGTGCGGTCACCGGGTGTCGGATGACTTCCCCAGGACAACAACCGTGCCTCGTAGTCGTAGAACACGGGTATACCCGGCAGTATCATCCTGCTGCGTCGAGCGTCGTAGAAGAGCGCGGAGGGAGCCCCAGCGTCTCGGCGATAACGTCTACGTGTCGACGACGACGTCGTTGGTGGTGCGCCGGCCTGCCTCCTCGCGTCACGGCAAACTCCTGCTCGCGTACCCACGTCGTAACCGCCGTGCAGCCGCGTACCTCGTCGCCACCGTGATGGCGGAGCTACCCGACATATCGCACCTCACCCCCGAGGAGAGGCGCATCATAGAAAGTGTTATGATACGGCAGAAGCAGGAGGAGGAACAGGAGAATGAGATCATGAGGTAAGCGACCTGAGTCTGTGTGTATGTATGTGTGTGTGTGTGTTTGTGTTTAGGTGTGTATACATGTATCACGTACAGCCGCAGTCCCGTCTCGAAAATCTCGCCCGGACACGTGACGATCGCTCGCGTCGATCCCTTCGTATCGCGGATTTCGCTCGCGGAGAAGCAACGAGTCGCGTGCCGGTTGTACGTACGCGTCTATTTTCGCTCAGCAATTTTTTCCAAGAGAGGTAAGGATAAAGTAAGAGAGAGAGAGAGAGAGAGAGAGAGAGAGAGAGAGAGAGAGAGAGAGAGAGAGAGAGAGAGGAATAAGATTCGAGACTTTCGCATGCGATAGATTTTTATTAGACAGCAATTTTTGTCCACGCAATCGATGAGATCATTGATTAATGACCGGCTCTATTTAAATACCGATACCACGTGTCGCGACGACGTGATCGATGCCATTTATTTCGTTCTTTCTCGCGAAGCGTTTATAATCGAAGGTTCACAAATAGCGCGTGCGGAATGCATCTGTAGGGATTTGTTCGATTTGACGATGGTGATGTGCTGATAAATGTGCGTGTGCATCGTCAGGTCTTGGAAAGCGCGGATAGCTGTCTGCGGCTTTTTCGCGGCCGTGCGAGCGTGGCCCGCGACGGTTTCGAAACTATCGATGAAGGGTATTGTTTTACAAGCAGGGCGCCGGCTTTCACACGGGTGTATTCAGGACTTTCTATCGCGCCGGATATTGTCGGGTCGGTCAAATGGCTGTAATAACATTCGCGCGTACCGTGACGCGTGCGGTCGCTATTGTTCGCAGCGCGCTTTCGGTGATTGCTGGCCATTTTTATGTCGTCCGATGTGCCTTCGTCGGCGATACCGTGAAACTGCACGGCATCGGGACGGAAAGTATATCGGGAGCATTGGGCGTTTCGGGTTCGCTTCAGACAAGCTCTTGCCTCCCGCGGCTCGCGGATAATTGATACGTTGATCAATCGCGACATATGGAAACGTTCAAGCGGACGCGCGTTTCGACGCTCACGTCGATTTTCGACTTTGCACAGGTGTGTGCATCTTTGCGCGTGTGTGCATGTGTGAGAGACAGCTTTATATTCGAATATAAAAGAGACAGCTCTGTAAAATTAATTACTCTCCGCTGCGATCTTAAGGAGGATTCCGAGAAACATGAAATTTAGATGGGGTTATTCTTCTTTTAAGCGCTTACGTCACTTTTCGACTCGCACAAGAGACGTCATGTATATGTGTGTGTGTGTGTGTGTGTGCGCAAAGGACATCTTTATATTCGAATATGAATATGAATTTCTCTGTGAAATTAATCATTCACTGCGATTTTAAACATAATCACGTGGAATTTAGATGGGGCGGTTACTTCTGTGTTCATTAAGTCGTAAGTCCAGTTTGCGACTTGCGCACGTACGTTCGGAAGCACGTAATCGTGTGATTCGGAAAACCGTCAGCTCGATCGGCTTGGCGATCGCCGTCGATCGACTTCTCAAAAGTAGTCACGAACGCGAGTGGCGAAAGACGTTAATGGTCAGCCGCGTGGATAGCCGCGCGAAGAAGCGAAGTGAGACGTCGTTTAGTCGATTGTTACCGATAACCGCAATTGGCAGCCGGACGAAGTGACAACCGATCGATCGGATAAAGGTATTTCTTGACCAATGAGTCCGCTCCGGCTCGTTTCACCTATTTTCCCGGCTCACCTGCTCGTTAGTCCTTGACCGCTTTACACCTACATCTTCCATTTATGTATCCACGGCCCTGCACATGTTCCCGATTACCGCGCCGGCTCTCTCTCTCTCTCTCTCTCTCTCCCTCCCCCCTCTCCCCCTCTCCCCTCCCTCCCTCTCTCCCTCTCCCCCTTTCCCTCTCCCTATCCCTCTTTCTCTCTCTCTCTCTCTCTTTCTCTTTCTCTCTGCGTCGTCCCTTTTGTACCAAGTGTTCGGAAATAAAAATCGCTTATAATTGTCTTCGTCATCCGCAAATATCCTCGCCCTTGCGCCGCCTTCGACGAAAGGTCCCGCGCCTCGGACGACCGGTGGCTCGTCGAATATATACACGTTGGAATATAAAGTAACCAGCGAGCAGCGGTATATAGACGTGGGTGCACGCACACACCCGTGATCGTGACACTTTTCCCCGTCGATGAGTCTCGGAAAATGGACGAAGGATCTCGAGTACGATCCGACACGATCCTCGACGATTCTCGGCCGTCCCGAAAAAGCCATCGAAACGAGAAGAGTGTCGCAACGTTTCCCGCGACCGAGGGCGCGTATAAACCGCCGATTGACGATCTCGTTGACGAGCCGCTGATAAAAATAATACGACGGCTAATCGAGAACCGGTCGATCGATCGATCGATCGGTCGGTCGGTCGGTCGTTCGGTTGTGCTCCGCTTGGCATAAGCGACGATGACTGACCGGGCGGCGAGCGGTGACTTGAGAGCGTGCGTAATTACGCGAATAGAGAGAACCGGCGTTTTCTCGGCGAGGTGGCTAACAATAACCCACCCCGCGGAGTTGGGTCGGGGATAGGAGGGCAGAAGAGGGAGGAAGTGGGCGCGAGCGTTGCGCAGTGAACGGGTTTTATTGATAGGTCGTCGTCGACGGCGGCGGCGGCGACGGCGGTGGCGGCGACGGCGGCCAGGGGAAAACGGGAACGTGAGAAAGAAGGGAAAGAATAATGAGGGAAGCGTGCTGCGCCATACCGATGCGAGATCATGTAATGTAGACGACAAGTACGTGTAGGGACGCATGTAAAATGCAAGGCGACGAGCCTTGACGTGGCTTAGTAACGAGCTGCTGCAGCTGCATAGGGTATGCATAGGGGTATGCGGCTGTAGCTCGTGGACGGGGTGTGAAAGCGCCTGGATTGGCACGGTAAATTCTTGGGGGTGAAATATATACGCGCGCTGTGGATAGAGTAGCACACGTATCCGTTGCTGCTCGGGGGCGGAGGAGGATAAGTGAGAGATAGGGAGGGGGGGGGGAGAAAATAGGAGTGCAAATACCGTGGAGTGGCGAGACGGCCGGAGGGTGTTTTGCGTCAACGCAGGGAAAGTTAAGGCGGTGTATTACGTCGTTGCGTTAATTTATCGTTCGTAATAGCCATCTCGATTTCGCGGACACTCCGCGGCGGTGAGGCGCGCGCAGCCGGCTGAGAGTTGCTCCGTTCGCGATGTCTGTTTATCGTGCACTCGTCTGCCGAACGGGCTGGGACGCTTTCCTTCGACGCGGATTTCGAGGCGCACCCGACACTCGATTCTGTCTCGCTAATTACCAATTAAGAATAAATCCTCCCATCGGGAGTCGACTGTATTCCGAAATGCGCCGAAGATGACAGTTTTACGAGCGAGTTCTAATAAAGCTACGTGCGACACTTTCCGTCAAAGGGCGGCGCAAGGGCGAGGATATTTGCGGATGACGAAGACAATTATAAGCGACTTTTATTTCACGATACTTGATACAAAAAGGCGACGCAAAGAGAGAGAGAGAGAGAGAGAGAAAGAGATTACCGGCGCGATAATCGTCAGGATCAAAACGACTACTCACAAGGAATGGCGAGAGCTATGAGAAATTAATTAATTAATTGTAGCAGATGTAAATAATCACGCGTTGAACGTGTCATGTCGCCTCGTCGTTCTTCATCTCCGTCGTGCTCTTTTCTGCGCGCGCGAGCGTTTCCGGTAAAAGGAAAGTAGCCTCTGTAATAATGTAACATCGTCGCTCCATTCGTTTCCTGAATAGGATATAGGCTCGCGAGACGCATCGCTGCAAATTTCAGCCGGTAATTCCTCACGGGCCGCGACGGAAGGCGACAACGAACGCGCATTTCGAGGTGTCGGAAGTTGCTCGGCGCGTTCCATTACTCAGTCACCGCATTATCGCGCATTAACGTCTGTACGGTCTTTGTCCTGTTTTATAGACGCGCCTCTCGCGATTCACAACACTAGCACGACGCTACGCTAAGGCGGCCGCTACGATTCTCCCGCGATATTCTCTCCCGCGCTACTCCAGTGAACGTCGGCTAACGTCGATGTTACAATTCCCCACTCGACGTATGCATCGTCGCGTCGTTGAGTGCGAAATTATACAATATCAATGTAACGTTACCGTCACTCGCTGTTTACCGCGTCGCTTCCACCATGACGCGTATTAGGACGAGGCATCGACGAGCGAAACGACGATATCGCGAAACGTAAAAGAGTCATCCGTGCGTGTCGCTCTTCAGCCTCCTCATCCTACGATAAAGGAGAATCAATTTCTCGCGTGTCGCGACCTTTGCACGATTGCTCGTAACGCACAAGTGGCAGAGTCTTGAGCGACTCTTTGTCGAGTGTGATCACCGTTGCGTGCGCCGCTCACTCGATTATCGATAAAGTAATTAGAGAAATATAGGCGGATGTACGGTGCGCCCTCGGCGATGCCGCCGCCGTCACCGCTATGTAACGCCCGGCGCGCGCGCGCGACCGAGAGAGAGAGAGAGAGAGAGAGAGAGAGAGAGAGCGAGCTTTTGTGCCACCGAAGCGAACTTGAGATTTAGGTTACAGCGTCACAGGGGATGCGTAACGCGATTGTTTCCATTATTTGACGATCGGTCAAGGGTAAGAAGGGAAGGTCGGGCGTCGAGTGTGTGTGACTTCGAGGCGGTGTCCTTACGTCAGTTGAGACAGAAAATAGAACAGACGCGCGCGCGCGCGCGAGACGCGTCTCAAAGAGCAGCACGAATTATATTTCGCTCGGGTCACCTCGATAATAGCTCGAGGATTCGCTCTGGCCGCTCCACGGGGATGCGATGCTACGAGTACCGACTCGGTGAACGCTGCGAACGTCCCGCGAGGGCGACGTCGATGCGCGAGAACTCGTTTCAAGATCCTGCTCCTCGGCCGGAGCCGGAGCCGGAGCCGAGCCAGTGGCCTCGGCTGGTGCCTTTTTGGCGTGGCCACGCGATATGGTTCCGCACTTACTGAAACACAGCCGAGAGGCGAGGCCGGCACGTACGTCGCGGTGCCAACAACCCCCGATCGAAGCTCGACGGCTCCGATTCGCCCGTCGCGTACGCGACTCGAGACCCAAAACCCCAAAGGCCGCCGTGGATCGTGCCAAGTGCGCTCGTGTTTGCCTCTCCTTTTTCATCAGCTGGCAGCGGCACCACCACCTACGGCGATGTACGCCGCGTAGTCGTCGAAGGGGCGACGATTTTACGGCCGGCCGAACCGGCCGTACATACCGCCGCATTGATCGGCGACGCGCGTTTTCACACAGTCGCCGGTTTAATCTCGGGCGTGCAGGACAACACGCTTCTGAGTTGGCTTAATGGCTGCGAAAGAGAGAGAGAGAGAGAGAGAGAGAGAGAGAAAGAGAGAGAGAGAGAGAGAGAGAGAGAGAGAGAGAGAGAGAGAGAGAGAGAGAGAGAGAGAGAGAGAGAGAGAGAGAGAGAGAGAGAGAGAGAGAGAGAGAGAGAGCGGGCGACCGCAGGAGCGACGGTGGCGACGAGACGAAGACGACGAGGAGAATGACGTCGACGTCGTCGTCACGTCACATCCGGGGAGAGATTACGAGCGCAGCCGGACGCGCGGCTTTCTCAGGGGCGCGATAATGCGCGAGCCGGAGATAAATCTATGCGCGTTAGCTGTTATCTCGCGAGATTTGGCGAAACGCGAGTCTACATGCGGCAGAATTAGGGCAGAATTTTGACAAAGTCGACCAAGTCAGCTCCCCCCGCGCGAGCGCGAGCGCACGGGCGAAAATGTTCTTGATCGCGCCGATAAAAATTCCGCGAGACGACGTCGCGCTTGTCCTCGTGTCGAGGATTGTAGCGATTTTATCGTTCCCACGCGAGACGAAACATGCAAAAGTAGGAATCTACGTGGGCATCGGTGAAATTTTGAGTTAATTTCAGGTCTTAATGAAATGCTGACGTAATTTTAAGCGTTAAAGAAATGTTGAGTGTCTCAACACTGTTTCTCCTCACTGCCGAAGGGATTTTCTCCGGGGAAACTTGTGGATTCTTTCGCGTTATGGACGCGCTGCAGTATCCGTTCCGAGCGTTCTCAGCGTGTGAGCTTCCGCGAGTAGAATGTGCGAATAGAGCACGAACGAGCGGGGAGCGCTCGACATTCAGCGTTCCGTTCGGTTCCGGCTACGTCTTTAATGGTTCCTCCTTGTGCATGCTCGCAGACGAAAGCAGGATGAGGTGCAGGTCCTCGAGCAGACGATACGGATGCGTTCGGAGAAACAGAAGAAGGCGGGGGTGGAGCTGAACGCTACGTGTCACATATGCCTGAAAACCAAGTTCGCCGACGGCGTCGGCCACATCTGCAATTACTGCGACATCCGGTGCTGCGCACGTTGCGGCGGAAAGGTCACTCTACGGTCGAGCAAGGTAAGAGGACTCGAGAAAGAATAAACGGCCGGGGAAAAGTCGCGAGGTCAGATTGATTGAATCGTCGCGGACCGTCTCGTGACGGCCGCGGGCCGTCACTTCGTCCTTCCCTTTCCTTCCTTCGTTATATTACTGCATACGTAGAGAGAAACCTTTCGAAGGTCTTGACGTAAAAAGATCACATGGGAAAATAAAAATAGGAACGTATCTCCGTCAGGGGGTGGTTTGACGCACGATCATCGCGTTGATCGTGGCGCGTTCAATAATATCAGTCAAATGATACTCCGCCTCCGCGGGATTACGACGAAAGGATCTCAACGGGAGGAAAGAGATGAGAATAAAGAGACTCATGGTGCAACGTGACGTAGCGGTTCGGGGTGCGGTAGAAGTTTGTGTGCGTGTTTCAAGTGTGGAGAACAAATCAATCAGGCCCGCACTGCTCTTCGCAAGCTCGAGCGTTCCGCGAATATGGCGTATATCGCCGCTCGAAGGCAATATTTGTCGTCCCCTTGATTCTGCAAATTTCACCGCAATTTCCGTATTTTTCCTCATTTATTTGTCTTAGCAAACAAGCACGTACACAAACAGTGTACACAAATACGATACGGGCAGTCACCGAGTCCGCGTGATTCACACACGGCGAAATTTCGCGACGCAAAATTGAAATTACCGTACAACAAGCGTACAGGCGGCCCTTCGCTCGCCGATCGTACCTGAAATATCGCAGATACGCGCAAACTGCGCAGAAAGCCGCGGTGCGACTCGCAAACGTCAGTCTCATTGACGAAACTTTCCTCTCGTGTTCTCCGCGAGGCACATTTCTCTCTCTTTCGTGATTCACGGGATCGCGAGCCGAGCGAGCCGTTCGCCAGAATTTCGCGATTACCTCATCGCGCATCTACGTAGATAGATCTACGTAGGTAGACGCATTGGCGTATAACATAATAACGGCGATAACACGCGAAGATAACTCCGTCTCGATGACGACGACGACGACGGTGACGGCAGCGGGCGAATTTAGCGTCTGACAGAGCGGGCGGCGCTGCGCGCTCGTTATCGAAGTGACGCGGCACGAAGCACGGCATCGGCATCGGTACATTCACAGTCGCGATCGGTGGCTGTAAATGTCAGCTTCCCGGAAGCAATGAAGAGTCGGCGAAAGACACGTAAGAGGACTATAACCGCGTGTGTCATCGCGAGCACGAGCTCGCCCGGAAACGGGCGACACGGTACGAAATAATAATTGACCTTTCGCGTAGCATGCCAGACCACGTCGATTAACCCTTATCGCGAGCACCAATATACACCACCGGGCGGTAATGCCGTCACTTAAACAACCGAGACGGTCGAGCGAATACATCCCTTCCCCATTTACATAGTAGGCGGTATTTTGCCGTTCTCGTTCGCTCGCCGGCTGAGCGCAATTTCGACCGGATTTTCATCGACGGAGATGAAGGATTAACGTCCGGTGTGGGTAGAGAGCACAACGTGGCGTGGCGCGGCGCTGCGCGCGAATATCGGCTGTGCTTTTAAAACTTTGTTATTATCCGCGCGCTCGTTTCCCATCCTGCCGCCGTCGTATCCGTAGATATTCGCGCGCGAATTCTCGGCGGCCGACATCGTCGTCGTCGTCGTCAAATTCGCATCTGTTCCGTGCTAACGCGGTTATCCTCTCTTTCGCAAATATTATTCTCTCACCTCCGTATCGCGTCGGTTACCGCTGTCTCTGTGTGTGTGTGTGTATGTGCGCGCGCGCTTACATATGTATTCAATTTAACGTATTCGCGAATATGCGCCCATCCTGAAATTCTCCATCGCCCCGAATTACACAAAAATAATGAGAAAGACAGAGAGAGAGAGAGAGAGAGAGAGAGAGAGAGAGAGAGAGAGAGAGAGAGAGAGAAAGGGAGGGAAATTCGCGGATTGTCGCGCGATGAAATGCGGCTGCGCCACTTATTAGCGCGGTCCGAGCGCGAAAGCGCGTTTAATTATGTTGTCGGCAGCGACGACGGCGGCAATGGCTTCGTGGTCACTCGCTATACAGAGAACACACAAGTGTCGTCACGTATACGTGACTTCCCGATGGAAATGCGAGAACGTACACGTCTCGTCGAGCCGAAACGTAACGCTGGATGTCGCCGTTATTTTTAGCCCGCAACTCGGACTTTATTGATCTCCATATCTTCTGGGTTCTATTTAACGAGGCGTTCCGCGACTAATTCGTCGCGGGCACGATGCTCGATTATAATTACCGGCAGAGAGAACGGCAGAAATCGATGCGACTCGATCCTTCCGTCTGGAAGCGTCCGCTCGCCGCGCGTGTACGCGCGTCAGCGCGGCTTTTATCCTGTCGCGAGTTGCCTCTCGGTCGCCGCACGTGCACCACCTTTCATCCCTTTTCAGCCTGCGGACAAAAACATCATTTTCCGGATTATTAAAAGTAATCCGAGCGCGCTGATCAATGACGCTCGCGTAAAATTTAACCGCCACGGCCAGCGCTCGGCTACGCACGACCGTCGAGGCCGGCGGGTGGGGTGATTTATAGTAAACCCCGTTGCACACACGTGCGGAGCGCACGCTACGCACGCTTCGTCACGGCCGCACGCAAATACACATGATGACAAACGTCATCGTCACCAGAGAGAGAGAGAGAGAGAGAGAGAGAGAGAGAGGGAGAGAGAGGGAGAGAAAGAGAGAAGACACGGGTCGTTACGATATCATCGATCCAAGCTCGCGCAACGACGCGCGCGTCGTTCAGCCCGTTGTACGCGCCGCGAACGAGGAAGGAGCGGGTCCTCCTCGCCGTTTCCTGTGCACGCGGACCGCCGTTTAATTGCGTCCCGCGCGAAAACGACGAAATTACACGTTTGTCGTTCGAGGCGAATCGATACCGACCGTATGCAGCCTCTGCGATCGCGCTCGTCACGTCTGTGCATGCCGCCGCCGCCGCCACCATCGTCGTCGCCACGGTTTCTTTCCTCCTTTCCACGGTTCCTTTTTTCCGCCGTTGCGGCTTGGACTCTCTCTCTCTCTCTCTCTCGCTCTCTCTCTCTCTCTCTCTCGCTCTCTCGCTCTCTCTCTCTGCGTGGGAGCCTATGAATGGGGCGCGTCCCTGCGTGACGTCACTTGCGGCGCTGGTTCACGGGGGAGGGAGTGGGCTGCCGAGGGATGAGGGTGCGGAGGTGTCGGAGGAGTGGGTGGCTGGGCGGACGGTGAGACGCTGGGCGGAGTGCGGGGGATACATGACGCAACATATTGATCTAAGTTTGGTAGGGTGCGTGGTGGAGGAGCACAGCGGTAAAGGGGAGGAAGGAGAGAGGAGGAGGAGATGGCGGCGGCGGAGGGCATGCGAGCGAGCGTGTGAGGAGGCGTGCGCGGCGGCGGGGAGGCGGGGGAAGATGCATGCCATCCGTCAAATCTATGCTCCTGCGGGATTTGTCAATGCGTGCGGACTTTTACTCGCCGTCGCAGCGCCCGTAGAATCGCCGGCGCGGCAGGGCGGCGGCTGACAGACGGCGGTCTTTGTCTCAACTTCTCCCCCCCCTCCCTACGTCGTTGTTGCCTTGCGCCGCGGTTACGTGGGATCGAGACAGCTGTGGCTGGCTGGCTGGCTGGCTGGCTATGGTAGTAGTCGACAACGAAGACGTGAGAGAAAAAGGAGAAAGAACAGAAGGGGAGAGGGAAGGCTAGATAGCTCGGAGGGAGGCGACGAGGGCGCGGGATCACGAAGGGAGACGGAAGAGTAACAAGATCTGAGACGTCACGCGACGTACAATGGAAAACGCGACTCCGAACATCGAACGTCTCGAAGTCGAATTGCTAGGCGGAAGCAAGATCCTCGGGGGGGGGGGGCAACGTGTCGAGCTCCTCGGACCTGTTCCCGGAGATGAGCCGGAGGAGGTCGCGGACCACCTGCGCGACTTATTCACGCAGGGAGTCTCGGTTATTCTCGTGAGTTTCATTGGTCGGAATCGCCGAGTGGATTTCTCTCGGACCATTTCCGGTAACATGCGGCAATTAACGCGTAAAATATGATCGAGCGGTTCGTCAGGTTAGCTTTCGTCCGAGCAACGCGACCGTGCCTGAATTTCCGACGGGACGAGTCGTCTCTCGCGAATCTGTCGGAAACTGCGGACCTCGAGAAACGATTTCGAGCGGGCGTATGTGCGATAAAAACGTTCTCGAGGACCACGAGGATCCTCCTCGCGGGATGATGCAGTGATGGCGGCTGCGGTATACGCCGAGACGATATGGCAGTAAAAATGCCGATTCCTGGGAACTATTCCCCGGCGTTTACGAGCCATTTTCGCGAGCATTTTGTTTATCTGCGCCCAGGACGACAGCTCCTTCTCCGCTTAGAGGTTATCGAGCACACTCCAATGTTACACGCCCCGGGCGATGTATGTGTGACTCTCGCCGATGAGACCCGACTCGTCCGCGCACTCCAAGTCTCGTGCGGCTCCAAAAGTCGGCCGCGCTGAAAATATGACTCCGTCGTCGCGGCACGACGCGGCGCGACGCAGGCCGTAACGCCGGTCGTCGAGGCGGAATCGCCACGGGGTGGTTCGGCGGGGCTGTTTACCAGGAAGAATCGCAGACAGTTTCGGAAATATACGCGACAGCACGAAGCACGAGGCACCGTGAAAGTCGTCGACTCGTCGCCGGCTTCTTCGCGCTCGCGTCACTGGCGAACCGCGCGGCGTCTTCGTTATCGATCAGCGAGCTACTCCAATCTTCCTTCATCTCCTCCTCCCCCCTTCTCGCTCTCCCACGATTATAGAGACTCGCGCGAGCATTATTTCTCCGTTTTACATATCGCAAAATCGTGTGCAATCGCAGACATCTTTCCCACTCCCTCCCCCTCTCTCTCTCTCTCTCTCTCTCCCTGTCTCTCTCACATAAGCGTTCCCGCTTTCCACCTTCTCCCACGAGAATCTCGCGGCGTCTGTCATGCTACGTCGACGTCGCTCGCGTGACTCGCCGAATTGTTCCGAGTTCCG